CTCACATGAGCTCCTTGTGATGGAGTCGGGACTGGCTTTACATATGAAGACTCAAAGTCAGGGCTATAGCTCAGTGGCGGAACTCTAGCCCTAGAATGCACAAGAACCAGGTTCAGTATCTAACAAACAAAGCCACACAGGTTGGACAGCTTGCCTAGAATCACCCATTCAGAAAATAGCAGAGCCACTTACCCCATAGTTCAAGTATATTTCATGAGGATCTCCTGCCTTCAGAATTATTTGCCAAATTAGATACATGAATGGAAGCCCTTCACCAAAACTCCACTTGTGTTCCAATTATTGCAAAAATTAGTTGTTGGATTCATGAGGACTAGCTAAGTGCCTTGAAAACTGTACATCCTAAACGTACATTTTGAGGACGCAGCACTACCTCAGGGAAGTATTTCTAGGTTCACTGTGTTTTTATACTTGTTAGATCTTAGTCATGTATTGATCAGATACATGAGTCAGAGACTATTTGCAGTGAGCTGTTTGTTATATTTTATTGATCACTTGTCTAATTGATTAACTTATTCTCTGCTTGGTTCTAAGAAAATTTTTGCCAGAGCTCCTGAACAAATCTTCTATTTGACTTTTTCTTGGGAAATCACCCTGGAGCAAGGTTCCATTTACAGTACCAGTACTTGGATCTTATTGCTAATTTGTGTGTCAAAACGCTAAGATGCATTATAGCACATGGAGATATTCACTCTACAAATGGCCAGAGAAGCTGTACTGGAAAATGAACCACCTTTCAGACAACCATTTCCACCTCTCAGCTCCTCAGGAAGCCCTTGCTGGTCTCAAATGGAAAAGAGACCTACATTGTAATAACTGTGACACCTGACATCACACCGCAGCCTTTGAGAATAGTGGGCAGAGGCTAGAGTTGTGCATTTCAGAGGTAGAAATTGGGTTATGGGGTTTAGAGCCAACATGGAAATTCCTAGTTTAGTGAGACCAATAATGGAAGATAGAGAACGAAGAAGGCAGGTGTTGGGAGGAGGGGAGAGGCTGAATTTGTGATATGTATCCCACTTCTGAAGAGCTTGCAAGCTTCTTTGGGAGTTGGGGTTGGTTGAGAAAAGCAGATAAGTTATTACTGATTAACCTGAAGTCTGATAAGGGCTGCAGTGGAAAAGAGCATGCTGGGAGAACAATTCCCTGAGGTAGGGGAATCTAAGAAGGCCTCCTGGTAGGCATGACATTTGGACCAAGTTGTAAAAGAGTTAATTGGGAAAAATGTCATGCAAGACATCTGATGCAGAGGGGACATCTGCAGAGTCCCCAAAGGCAAGGGCAGAGCCAGTAGACCAGCTGAGTGCAGTGGGCTGGAGGCTTTCAGTCCTGAAGAACCTGGGGACGGCAGCCTGCTCAAGCTTTTACTGTAAGCCAGGCACAGCAGTGTAATTCAGAATATGGCCAGAATATGGAACTGTCACCATGGGGTGGAGGAGAAGAGAGACACACAGGTCTCAGATTCCAGATTTCTGTCTTGGCCAAGGTGAGGAGTTTGAACAAGGACCCAATTATGAAGAAGAGGAGGAGCTCCGCTAGAGATGGGACGCTTTCAAGTTCCCTTTTGTCACTCAGGTAACTGAGAGGAACCTCAACATTGTATTTGGGGTACAGATGTCTCCATTCAGAAAACGGAAGTAATGAGAATGTTTCTCTGTAGAGTAGTAGTGATAGTTAAATTAATATATACACATAGTGCGCATACATACATGCAGACAAAACACTCAGACACATCAAATAAAATCTTAAAACCACAACAATAGATGGGACCAGAACAAATTCCACAAGATAGTGTCTTCTGGGTAGGACAGGGACATTGCTCCCATGAGCTCTTGTACCTGCACAGGACCTGCAAAGGTGGCACCAGTCCCCACGCCAACCTGGATAGAGGAGAATTCCATAAGAACCTGGCCCTAGGTGAAGAGTTACAGGCAGTCAGTGGCTGCTGAGGGAGGAAGAATCAGTTTTCTTCAGTCCTAAGTGGTCATCCCCAAACACATGTACATACAGGTAACATTAATTGGACTTGGTAGGTTGTATATACAATGCAATAACAATAATTAAAGAAGAGGTCATGAATTTGAAGGGGGTGGGGACACAGAAGGAATTGGAAGGGGAAAGGGAGGGGTGATATGATGAAAATACAGTATATTCATGTATGAAATTCTCAACAAACTAAAATGAAAGCAAATGATCTATGCTTAGTTAGGGGAAAAATACATATAACCTTTGAGTTGAACCAGATCAGCGCCCATCCGTCCTCTTTAGACCTCAGCAACACACTCATAAAAACACCTTATTTGTTTCACTTACTAAAAGGAAATTCTTTAAGAGTAATAAGCAAACAAGCTCATATGTTTTTTACTTAATTTGTAGACTTTGCTTAATCTTTGAACTTGGTTTTAAATTACATCCTTCAAGCAATGTAACTTCAAAGTCCCCAAAGTCATATAGGGAGTTGTTTTTATGACATTTAAAGTGCAATTCTCTCTGTTGAGAAGGCTGTACTCAAGTCTTTGGGTGTATACTATTGTCCTCTTAAGGATCTCTCTCTTTTTCTCTCAATGCCTGTGCTTAAATCTAAAGCTGTACTGGGGCTGGAGACATGACTCAGCAGTTAAGAGCACTTTTACAGAGGACCCAGGTTCAAATCCCCGCACCCACATGTCAGCTAACAACCATCCGTAACTCCAGTCCCAGGGGATGGGACATCCACTTCTGTCCTCTGTGGGCATTGCACGACAGGGGTACACTCACATACATGCAGGCATACACACAAAATAAAAATAAATATTGAGAAGGCTGTACTCAAGTCTTTGGGTGTATACTATTATCCTCTTAAGGATCTCTCTCTTTTTCTCTCTATGCCTGTGCTTAAATCTAAAGCTGTACTGGGGCTGGAGACATGACTCAGCAGTTAAGAGCACTTTTACAGAGGACCCAGGTTCAAATCCCCACACCCACATGTCAGCTAACAACCATCCGTAACTCCAGTCCCAGGGGATCGGACATCCACTTCTGTCCTCTGTGGGCATTGCATGACAGGGGTACACTCACATACATGCAGGCATACACACAAAATAAAAATAAATAAATCAAAAATTTAAAGCTTTTACTATTTGCTCTGTCTCTACTTAATAAACTCACTAACTCTGATTCATCCTGAAATTCTTTTCTGTGGTGTCATCAAGGAATCAGACTTATCTGAGAGAAGGTCTCTGTGGAGATGAGAAGAATTTCCTTAGGCTACAGGTTTAAGTGTTAGGCTGCCTCTGGCACTGTTAGGAAGGCAGAAAGAAGGAAAGCCTGTTGGACCAGAAATTAAGAAAGTTATTGTTCTAGGGAAGCAGGAGAAGGGGGAAATTAGAGCAAGAAGAGGATAAGGTGAGCCAGGGCCCTGTGGCACCCATAGTTCATACAGGAGGAGGGGCTGTGGAAAAGATTGCAGATGCCAATGAAGCAAGATTGACACAAAATAGGCCTGAGGGAACCCCAGGAAGAGGTTCTGGGCATGTCTACAGGCATCCATATGCCAGAGTTGAGCAGGACGAGGCTGTGAAGAGCTGTTGGATTTGGCAGTGAGGAGACACCATTGCCAGATCCAGTTGGGTGGGGCCCAGGGCTGAGAGTGAAGCAGTGAGCTCTGTCCCCTGCTCTGTGCAAATTAATCCAAAAATTCTGCCTGTTTGGCACCATGTATCACAGATTCAAATACTCATACCCTTTGATTCTGAAATTTCACAACTAGGAATTGATCCAATCTGCGAATTTGGAGAGGTGGAGGTTGCTATAATACAAGGATGTTGATTACAGCCTTGTTTATTATAGAAAAATGAGGGATCAGTCATCCAAAGGCCCACTGTCCAAGAAAGGAAGCTATAGAAGAGAGCGTGGTGTGATCCAGTTACATACTTGGTTTTATTTGGGAGGTGGGATCCTGGGTACAGTCACTGTCTAGATGTGTCTGTATTTCCTACGTTTTACACAATGATATTTAATGTCCGATTCACCTGGCCAATACCAAGCCACAGGAGGAAAGGAATAACTTTGGTTTTGTTCAATCTATATATCATTCTATCTGGCACATTTCAGGCAGACCATAAATGATTATTGAATAAATGAATGAATGAATGAATGAATAGATGGATGGATGGAAAACAGGAAGTTGCAGAAAATGTCATAGAGTGTGAGTTCAAAGGTTGTGTATTGGTCTGACCTCTGTCATCAGAGAGGATGTTGCAGTTTCCTGAAATGTGGACAGCATGGGAGGAAAGCAGGCCCAAAGCCCTCTCTGACTACTCAGTGCTCCCCAAACAAGTGAAATCTGAGGGCAAAGTCATAATATTTTAGTATTGCAGGGAACTAGAGTGCTGTCAAGTCATTTTTGTATCAGAAAACTATCGACAGACAATATGGCTTTCATCTCAAAGGTAATAAGAAAGAGCTCATTCTTGAGCCAAATATGAGTGACCATGGCCCAGAATGTGGACTCACAACTGCCTGAATGACATGTTCCAGGGTGGAAATGATGTCATAGTTTTTATAGTTACAGAACAAAAGAAATCCATAAATCCAGGTATTTTCTAAATACATTGGTGGGCTCCAGCAAAGCAAGGAACTCTCTGCTGTATGTTTGAGATACTATTTGATGACATTCTTAGCTCTGGGGTTGGCGGAAGCTAACAGTCTGCTAAGTTAATACATTACAAATGTTTTACCTAATAGTCAAAAGGTTATTTAGGTGGGCAATGAGTAGCTAGACTAATTTTGGCTCTGAATCTGCAACACTCCAAATCTCCACCATCACAAAGCTTCAATCAGTCAATCGGCCTTGTAGAATGTTTAACATAAATGTGGCTTAGTTTTCTGGGAACATCAGTTCATAAAATCACAACCCAGAAAGGTCAAGTAAGTTCTCCAAGTTGCCATGGGGAATGCGATACACCACCTGTACCTGTGCCACCCAATTCCTACTCTGTTCTCCAAAGACAAAACAGTGGATATTTCTGATATAAATGAAGTTATTTTGAAAGGACAGTCATTGGGTCCCTAAGAAACCTGGTTCCCTTAAGCACAATGCAATGGCTTGTATCTCTAAAGCTCACTGACCCACCATCTCCTTTCCTTTATAAACAACAAAGGGCCGGGGACCATAATTAACTCACCCACATCTCGCATTGTTCCCAAGGCTTAGAACAGGCTTTGATTTCTATTGTTGAAAGAATTGTTCTCTTGGCAACACACAATGAGAGAGAGAGAGAGAGAGAGAGAGAGAGAGAGAGAGAGAGACACCAGAGGGG